GAAAAGCGAGAAGTTGTCACGTTACATTCGGCTGAAGGTTGGGATCTGTTAGATCTCCTTTTTTCATTCTTCATATAAGCTCAGCTATATGCAAGATTGATTAGTATATAAGTGAACACTGCTTTGCTGTAACTGTATAGGTTGTGGCCGATTAGTTGTGATGCTGTCTGCGGTGCAGCGGGAAGCGAGAGCGATCCTGAGCTTTATCACTCCCCGGCAGTCAAATGCGAGCGCGGTATACCCTCTATAGACAGGCAATTTCTGAGATTGCAGGAAACGCGCTCTGATAGTATTCTACGACGTTCAAGAAGAGGATGAGAGTGGACTTAGCGGGATTTGCACAGTGGGGAGCTGGCAGATGAATCAAATAAAATAGAAAAAAATTCATGATGTAGTTATATGTGATAAGAGCTGTGCTGCCAACAAGTTCATAAAACCTATAACATTTCTAAGTTTCATATAAGATTTCCATGCATGTCTGATCTCTGTGAGTTATTTTAGTGCATCGCTTGTGTACTCCTACGTGTAGGTATCAGCGCTTATGACTCAGATTGGCGGCGGCAAAATAACCCTTCCTTTGAAAGCGCCTGCATGTCTGTACATCACCGTCCAAATGCCATTAAAGCGAATTAGCTATACCGAAATGGCGCTCGATTAGAGACGATATTTGGTATTATATCGTAAATTAAGCTCAATTAGAAACACTACAGTTAAAGTTTCAAAACGCTTCTTCCACGCTCAACGACGTTTATCGCAAGTTTTCTTGTTTTCCCTCCTCCATATTAGGTCAAGCAAAAGTTTTGAAAAAATCTTTGAAAGTTTCATATATACCTAACAGAATTGAGTGAAGAGTAAAAACACGACCTTAAACGGGAGTCGAATCCGGGCATCACTCATACGGAGAACGATGTCACAATGGCTGTTAGCTCAACTGGGTTTAGATAGCGAAATCACATACATGACCAAACCTGTTTAAGGTCTAAGGTATATGTTCATCTAGTTCATTGATTTCAGCTCCAAAATCCTTACTGGACAGCATGATTTGCGTGTGTTCGTCCGTCATTAATGGGGAAAACATTTATCGATTCTTAAAACCGTCGGTGAAGTTAATGAGGTCAAGGTGGTGGTACGACGACAAAATCGAGTATGAGCAGATGGCTTAGGCATTTCAAAGATGGGAATTTCATTCTAGAAGACGTGTCTGGTTCTGAAAGGCCATCTGTTTTCGATTAAAGTGACTTGCACGCCACTCTGGATGCTGAGACGTCATCGAGCACTCGTGATTTGTCTGAAGAGCTCGGCGTTTCACAAAGGGCCGTTGCCAGGTTGCCTTTCGCACGGAGTCGATTTGAATAATTAAATTAAGCTGAGAAATCATGCAAGAAAAAGAAGGCATTTTTCGATTCAAAGGAGCAGGATTGGTCTTCGAGTACGTCCGTAATTTTGTTGAACATTGGCAGGAAGGGAGCGCATGTGGCGCAGTGGTTAGAGGTGCCCTGCGTCGCACACGAGGACAATCGTTCTACCTCGAGCTCGTGGCTCACCAAGTCATCCATGCCTACGGAGTCTGTAAATCGGTACTAGATTGGTCTCAGACTTGTCTGGGAAGATAAGCAGCACTGACTCGATTCAGAGGGAAGCCACAGCGGGTGATTGAAAAGGCCAGATATCATTCAATCGCTTCAAACGAAGTGAAAAGTTGAAGACAAATGGATGTCGCATTCCTTATGGATTGAATCAACGCCGAGAGCTTCATTCTTTTTATCCTTTTACCGGCAGAAAGCTGTGGACGACAGTGGTCTATACTTCGAAGAATAGTTATTCTTTTTGTTGTTAAATTGCGCTCAAGAACGATACTTTCAAAAACCTCTCAAGACTTTTTGCTTAATCCTAGAATTTGAGACGAAATTGTTTAAACACGGATGTGTTCCACAATAGGATATGAAGGATTCAGAGTCAAATACAAACACTGCTCGAGGTGAGCATTATCATAGTGGTCCACGAAAAAAGAGGTCGAAGGAAGTCGATAAGAACCTTCATAAGCAAGTGAGGTCACAGGGCTTAGATCATGCTAGGTGACTAGACATTAAATTCATAAGAGTAATCTGACTGCTCAAACTTTGTAGTTTACTAATGGACAATTTCATCTATGCAGATCGTTGAGGCTAAATACATTCAAGGCTCCAGTTATTACACATAATGCTAGTGGACGTTAGAGTACTGCAAAAACGAACTGAATGAAGTTATCATCAAGTGTAGGATTGAAAGCATGTAAACATATTCGTGTCAGGGCCAATCGACGTCTTAAAAGAGACAACGATGTTGATTGGGCACCAAAAAAAAACACGAATCGATTATGAACAGAAGAGGAAGAAGCAAATGTAGAAGATTTTGGTTATATAGGCTTCACATAAAACGAAAACAAAGAAAGAAAAAGAGATGAAAACACTAGGTTTTTTCAAAATCAATCGAACTAAGGACGGCTCGAATTTTGTTGCCATTGTGAGGGTATGAGATTTTCGTTAGCAGTGCAACACACATGAACATCAACGAAACAGTGACACTATTAGGATTGACCGAATCTCGTTTACGTAATGGCCTCAATGCTAAACATAGGAGCTTATAACACCAAAAAGTAAAAAATGTGTAATAGTCTACGAGTATGCAGAATTCGAAAGGAAAAACGGTTTTTTCTGCCAGACGACGACAAATCATGAAACGACCCCTTTCGCTCTAAAAGAACATTTCATAAGAGTACTAATTATTTGAATGCTTAAATCTCCGGCAAGTGCGCTACGATTCTTTTTGAATAGACCCTTCTATAACGCGGTAGCGCTAGAAAAAATAAAGAATTGGATAATAGAACTATGTTTTACACCGGCCACGCCCTTCTGTTGTGGCTTCGTTGAAAGAACAAAAAACATATGAACGTGTAGGGAAAATATTGTAGCATCAAAGTCATTTTGGCTTTTTCAAAAAAAACGGCCAGGTTGCGCACTAACCAGAGATTCAAACTTCGAAATGATTACTAAAAGTGCAACTTAGAATTTTGTTCAGCGAAAGGAGTCCCTCTTTCATTTGTCGCCGTCTATCAAGAAGAGCCAAGAAATCTATCACCAAGCCCTTTTTTCCAACTCGCAGAAAAATATTCTTTTCTTTTCCAAAGTAATTTTGAAACTGTTTTTATATTCGAAATTTTGACTGTTTTTATTGCCTTTTTCTTAGTGTTATGATGTTTCATATATTCCTAATAGAACTGAGTGGTGAGCATAAATACGACCTCAGACAGGAGGCGGACCCTCGTTTCATCCATACCGGGGTCGCGTGGCACCACCACACCATCGCATACATTACCAAATCTGTTAATGGATGGTGGCTGACAGCTAACATAGAGATGTTGGAGAATGGCTGCTGGCGTAAATGTGTCTCGGTGATTTAGTGGTAGCACGCATTCCCAGTATGGATGAAACCCGGGTTCAACTCTCGTCTGAGGTGGTATTCTTGCTCACAGCTCTTTTTAATAATCACTATTAGGAAATCGTTAGCGCAAAGAAAACTATTAAGCAAAAGAAAAATTGCTTCCGTTTATTATAAGGGAACAAAAGAGAAACCGTTCTCAATCGCTGGGGAGGAACTTTTCATGGGAGTGTTGGGAACCATTCGAAAGCTGACACTTGAGGCTACCGTCTCACGTCGCCAGTTTTCCAAAACACCCTTAATACCGTTGCAGCATCCGCATCAAAAATTGTGTTTCACACTCGCCTTTTGTCTTCATTTTGATCACGCGTATAATTCGCTGGAAGCCGAAAAGCATATCAATGTGTAGAGTAAATTTCGTCATAACTTAGTCAGTCGATTTACCCAGAGTTTCCTCCGAAGCGAAAAAAAAATTCCCAATTGGATAGAAATTATAGACCGTCCCGCCTGGCCCCGCCCTGTGACGCTTCTGCCACGGCCTTCGCCTTCTCGGTTAGCCTCTATACAACGTTACCATAATGTAAAACTTGATCTTATCCTCCCTGCCTGACCGTATTTCTAGAAAATAAGCATATCGTTAGGAACAGAAAACATTAGCTTATCAAATGATTACTACTAGTCTAAAGAAAGAGTTCTGTCCGGCGAGGTTTAAAGCACAAATACGAAGATCAGAGGATAAAAGATTAAAAGCGTTTTGCGAAAAGCAAACGCATTTTGATTTTTTTAAAGCTTGTGCTATAGTTTGAGTAATGTCACTTTGAGGAAGAGTTTTGCACGCGAAATATAAGCGATATAAAAAAACACGTGGTTTTATGAAACATGATTTCATTTTGAATTTTACTATGTTATAAAGGGGTATTTCGAAAAACATGAGACGTGAGGCTGTAACCACAAGTCCCAACTTTTGATGGTTACTATCACTCCTAAAAAGCTCTTCTTCAGCGAATGAAATCGGTTTTTCATCAAGGGCCAAAAAATTTAAAAATTCCAATGATTCGAACCCAGATCTCATGCTTTACGAGAGCATGAGCTAAACCGTTGCACCACCGACGCTCGTTTTGCACGCCTCTCTTTCTACGCTACAATGCGTCATGTGTGAACAACCAACCGTCTACGGTCTGGCGTGGGCAGTCGCTTATCGACATTGAACAAACTTATGCTGACAGATATTAAGTTTCAATGATCGATCAGAATTTATCTAATTTGTCTGAAAGAGCGCTGTGCAAGACGAGCGTCGGTGGTGCAACGGTTCAGCATAAGCCCCCCGGACAGAGCGCAATCTGGGTTTAAATCTCGGCTAGCGCGAATGTTTCTGCACATTGCTCTACATTATTTCGTCTATTGTAACATCATACACCGCAATACGCAATTATATAAATTGAATTCTGATTGATTATTGAAGCACGATATCTGTCAGCATAACTGAGTTCAATGTCGCTAAGTGACTGCCCACGCCACACTGTAGACGGTCGGCTGTTGACAGATAACGCATTGTAGCGGAGAAAGAGCAGTGTGCAAAACGAGCGTTGGTGGTGCAACGGTTGGGCATGCGCCTCCGGATAGTGTGAAACATGGGTTCGAATCCCGGCTCACGCAAGTATTTTTGCACACCACTCTACATTATTGGGTTTATTATAACATCATACCACCGCAATACACGGTCAAATAAAATGAATTCAAATTGAATAATCAATTGCAATAAAAAAAGCAAGTACCTGAAGATATAAAGACGACTGGCTCGCTCGGCGTCGGCTCGCCGACGAATGACTAGTCGGCCGACGAGCAATCCGTGAATTGCAAGTACACCGAATTGGAACGTGTTTGACATGTTAGCGTGTCAAATTCAAGTGTGTGCCGAAAGCGTGAACTCTACAGCGAAGTGTCACGAGGAAAAGAGACATCGATTGACTAGATGGGCCCTGTTGTTTGCTTTACACGTCATGTCGCGTCAGAGACGCGTTCCAACTTTAGAAATCCTAACACTTTGGAGTGGAACACGCATGTGGCTCAGTGATTAGAGGTGCTCTGCGTCACACACGCAGTCAATGGTTCGACCTCGCGCTCATGGCTTAGCAAGCCGTCCATCCCTCCGAGGACGATTAATTGGTAGCAGACTCGTTTAGGAGGATAAGCAGCTACTACTCGGTACAGCTGAAGTTCACCGTGAATCATTGTGAACGCCGAATTAAAAAGAAGACGAATGCATAGCGCATCTCTCAGCGAATGATCGACGCCGAGAGCTTTCTTCTTTGTTCTTTCAACACTGTGGACAACGTCAATCAAAGGTGTTGGAGGAAATCCTTGTAAATCTAGCACACAACTACTTGCATGCACACGCGCCCTGTAGTGGTTACAGGTGCTCTGCAGTACATATTAGATTGCTCACTGGTTCAACCCACGCCCTCGAAATCAGAAAACCATATTATAGCGATCATCCTTGGTGCGACTCCTCTCGGTAGGCCATTCCATGCTACTGTTCAATCAAAACATGTAATCGATTACCTCTGCAGTACTCAGTGATGTCGAATGCATCTACAAACTGTTGGCAGACGTTCGAGAGATTTAGCCCCATAAATTCAATGCTTTGTAACACAAGCCAAATGTTCCACCCCAACGCTGCTACGCATCACATACGAAGACAAAGAGGACAATATTCTGTTAATTGGCGAGCCGTTAGCCAAAGAATATCTCTGGTACGGTCTGGGATAGATTTAGAGTGCCAAACTGAATGTTCAACAGCGAAATGATCTCTAGTCGTTATTTGCAATAGATGTATTGGCTTCGCCTTGTTATACAACCGAGTGGAGAAATGAATATCGAGAGCTCGATTTGTGCATGCTTTGTACAGAAGTGATCCCTCTGGTAGTTTTCTTATGTCATCATGTGTTATAATGAACCTTGAGTATTCCCTGTTATATATTTTTGGGTTTTTTCCAACGTGTTAATTTTTCTTTGTTAAAATTCAACGCATTGAATCGGAGACGTTTGTGTTACAATTGAAAATGCAGGCATTCTTAGAACTCAGGCCCACTAACCAGATATGCTTATCAAGTTTATTCTGCCAATTTCTGCAGGCTTGGTGACCGCGCGTCTTACAGTTTATCTCTGCTATGACTCCACATTCAGTGTTAGCATGTCGCAACCTTGCATGAAATCTCAATATCAGTGTATGGTCAAATCCTATCTCAAAAAACTAATTCCACCTCCATTCTTAACTATTAGGTTACTAACTATTTATGCTGTATTTTGTAAGTCTTCTACTTCAGCGACTATCGTTCCTGGATTACATCTGTGAGTGAGATCTCAGAGGATATGAAATGACTGAAACAACCAATTAGAAACTTTAGTGTTATGGAGATCGGTCCTCATTCCATTATATCAACGTTTCGTAAATTTTAGAAAATCAGCCATCATTATGTTAGATAGGAGGCTGTGTCCGAGTAGCTGTGACGCTCGTCGCAGCTCGTGGGATTTAGCCCCATCTCCCGACAATCTCCGGCAGTCAACAACGAACGTCCTATGGAACGTCACAATCAAGCTGTCCTCGACATTGCAAGGTGGCGGGCTCATCCAGCATTCTATGACTCTGAAGAAGACGAAAAACGACTGCATGCTGATTAGCACAGTGAAAAAAAAGCACTATGAAGACGGGCAATAAAGTGCCGAATGCTTGACAAGGAATAGGACAGGCGTTTAGACTGTGACAGCCTTGAGTGATTATAAGAGGTATTTTTCTCTCAATAATTGATTGACTGAGTTGCCAAGCTGTTGATAAGAAAAGACTAGAGAGGTAAATAGTCATGACATATCCTATTTCTTGAAGCTGCTTCCAATATTCGTCTTTCATTAAGCATCGTAAAGGTGGCTAAATGCATATTTCAATTTACTTTGGGTACGTGCCGAGCAGTGACTAGACGTTTCCTGAAACAATTTCCCGTAGTTAGTATAAGATCCATTACTACCTTATTGATTTTGTAATCGAACTTTACTCCTTTCTGTCATAGATGTTGAGACTTCGAACAATGGCCAGAAATGCTTAGAAATATAAATAAAGTCAGCTCCTGCTCCACGATTATGTAAGATATGTCGATTATATTATAAGTCATTTTGATAAGTACAGAATAAAGTCCATCTTGCGTTGATGAGAAAGGTGCTATCCGTTTGATTAATTGAGCATCGTTTACTTCAGTGAATGCCCGGACCTAAATAATAGTTTGCTCTTTCCCTTGAAGGTCTAGTGCGTGAGTGTTTATCATCCTCTCAAATGAGTCTGATAGCAATGTGGCCATTGGAAGCCGGAAGAGGGACCGCGGAGTGGTTGGCAACGAAGGCCACTGAAAAGCAAAACTCTGCTTTGACACCCTTCCATAACGCTTCTTGCAGCTCGAGAACATCTTAGTTCGGGACCTCTCTTGGATTGTAAGGAAAATCAACTTGATCAACACTCCAAGAGATATAAGAAATTTCTTGAAAAAAGCAGCCGAAACAGCACAGAAGATGCTTGAGGGCTCTTATAACGATGGATACAAAATAGGCGAATCGGATTTAAGAAGTGCTGGAAACTCCGCACAGCACATGCAATGAAGGGACATGTAAGTAATTCAGTAAATAATTATTATAACTCCTTGTTCCGAGTGTTTTCTTAAGACCACACCCAAATTTCAATATGCCTGATAATCATTTTTTTGAGCCACGCGTGTCAGTGGCCTATCAAAGAGGGCTGACTTATAAAGCCTGATACACGTGTTTCGATCTTGCGATCTCGTCAGTCGGGCAGTTACCCTTTCTCGTCTTTTGTCAGTCCTATATGGGTGCCCCGTTCCCACACTAAGAGTTAGCGACGACGAACGTTTTCACACTCTATGTCCAGTGAAAAACTCAGCGAACATAGAGTGTTGCACACTCGATTGCTCTTGACTGGTATATAATATATCATATCTTTCGTTTCGAATGTTTTCTTAAGACCACTGGACATAGAGTTCAAAACGTTCGCCGTCGCTAACTCTCAGTGTGGGGACTGAAGCACCCACACAGGACTGGCAAAAGACGAGAAAAGGTAACTGCCCGATCGCAAGATCGAAACACGTGTATCGGGCTCTATAAGTCACCCTTCTTTAATAGACCACTGACATGCGTGGCTCAATAAATGATTATCAGGCATATTGATATTTGAGCTGTGGTCTTGAGAAGACACTCAAAACGAAAGTAAGAGAATATTAAATGAATGCTAAAATTGACAGAATACGAAATTATGGGAACTTTATGCACACTATGAATATACAAATCTATATACATATATATGTATATTTGTATATATATATATATATATATATATATACTGCGAGGACGGATCAACAGTGTCAAAAGATATATAAGCATATATATAAAAATAAAGGATAAAGGATAAAGCTCTCGGCGTTGATCAATCCCTGAGGGATGCGCCATGCATTCGACTTCAATTTTTAACTTCGTTTGAGGTGATTGAATGCATATCTGGCCTTTACAATGACTCGCGGTGGCCTCCCGCTGAACCGAGTCAGTGTTGCTTATCCTCCCAGACAAGTCTGAGACCTGCCTGGTACCAATCTACCGACCGCGGAGGGATGGATGGCTTGGTGAGCCATGAGCGCGAGATCGAACCATTGACCTCGTGTGCGACGCAGAGCACCTCTAACCACTGCGCCACATGCGCTCATATGTAAATAAATAATATATATATATATATTATTGCGCGTTATTACGAGACACTTCTCCTTGCGGTTCATTTTGGGCCTTTGCTATGTATTCAAATGGCTACCGGAGTTTTGCGAACAGATGTTTTCGATTCCCGTGCAAGGGTCGTGAATTCGACGCGGATAATTACTCCTGCATGTTTTTGATGCTGTACGTGCCTTGTGGGGTTTTTGGATCAGAGTTGCGTAACACAACTAGGTGCTCTTTTACACAGGAGAGCAATGGTCTACTCACTTCGCCAATTTATCTATCACCGCATGCCTCGCAAGAGACTATGTTAATTGTACCAGATCTTATGCAGTCGCGGTCTACGCTTGGACAAACTTGGCAATCATTCGTTTTGCAGAAGTGATCATACAGCCGCTTGCGGATTAATCAGCGCTTTAGTGTCTTTGGGGGTATCTTGACTACTGCTACGGATTTATATAAACCTGCCCTTTTCAAGCAACGTTTATTAGCTGCACTTACTTCGATAGAAATAAAAGGCAGAAAAACGAAACTTCGTCCTTTCTAGAGTTTCCGCTTGGGGGAGCAGAATTTCCTTTAATTCCAGCTTAAGGAACTCTTCCTATGTTGTAGCCATGAGAGCTGGCTATTTCTTAGACGCCAAGCTTATGGACTCTACCTTATGAATCTTTCCTGTGCACGTACTAACAGCTGTTCGAAACATGTTTTCCGCAAGTGCGCATTTTGTGTGCGACCGAAGAGCAGATAGGTAGTGAACCAGATCGCTTTTTGCCTAGCTTGGGATACCATTTGGTCTTGCAAGAGATCTTGGATAGGGTGACTTGAGCGTTCCAAATTGAAAGCCAATTTGCCTTAGGCTTCTCACGGGTAAACTTTATGTATTCTAACTGACTAGT